TGGGTTTATAATGACAGACAAGAATAAAATTCATTCCACCCTTCAATTTTTGAATTAAATTTATATACAGGCACTTAAGATTCATATTAATAGTACTTGAAAAAATTACAAGAAAAAAGAAAACTTTTTTTGCTTTCTTACAGAAAAGCTTCTATCCAATTAAGCCATGTGATAATCAAGTTTTTTTTAAAAAAACTTATTGCAAGAAATCTTAAAAAAAAGATGAAATCAATGAATTTGATTATTCTAGTTGTTTTCTAAACAGGCAGCTAAATGGTGTAGTGAATAGAGCAGTGGACTTAGAGTGAGGAAGATCTGAGTTCAAATTTCACCTCAGATACTTACTGTGTGACTTTAATCTCTCTAAGCCTCAATTTGTTCATCTGTAAAATGGGGATAAGAGCACCTGCTTCAGAGGGTTGTCATGAGAATCAAATGAGATATCATGCGTAAAGTGTTCTTCAAATCGTAAACTACTATATTCTAGCTATCATTTAATCAGAAATATTTTCTCATCACATTAAGCAAACAAAGGCATTCTAAATACAGTTTTACATAGAAATATTTTAATACAGATTAAAAACGTTTCAACCTTTAATGATTTTTGGTGCCAGCATAAGAATGTGATAAAGTTTCATACATCTATAAATGCATGTATATAATAGAAATACTTCAAAATGCAAGTATTTATGGTTACATTTTTCACTGGCAAGGTAACATAAAATTGAAGTGAAAATCCCTGAATTATTGTGCATATTACTTTATATGGCATTCTAAATTTAAACAGAGTAAGAGCAAGACATAGAAAATTCTGATCATTGCTATATCACAAAAAAAAATTAAAACTCACAGTTTCATCTATTTTCCTAGGTTTTCTAGGGTCATGAAATTTCTTTTTGTAGAAGAAAAATATAATTCATAAAAAATCACTACAGACTATTTCTAAAATATTTCTAAGGTTTTAGATGAAAGAACCATAAAGAACATGCTTCACAATAGTACAGGTAAACTGTATTCAACATAATTAAACACGCTTTTCATATTTGTAAAACTGATATGGGCTTCAACATGCCCAACATAATTTATAGAGATTATACCAAATGAATGTTAATAATTTACCACCCTAATTCTGTGGTATAGGTAGGTAACTTTAATTATGAAGTTTAACAATGTTTACATTACACACTTATGTACATACATGTGTTTGTATGAAAAGCCAAGTAGCCCACTTCCACAAAGTCCAAGTCAATGTTAAATCATTTGAATATAGATGATATCTTTAATATCTTCTTAAGAAAATATTTACTGAGCTCTTTAGGTACCAACTTCAGTGAAGAGAAATTGACAATTCTCAACTGAACTGAGAGAAGAAATAAGACCATCTTTAATAATCCAAAAGAGAGCCTGTCCAAGTGAGATGAAATTAAAATGTCAAAAATTCATCTACCTTTGAAAATTTAGGTTTTGACAAAGTGAACACTAAACACCTTTACTGTTTTTTAATCACTGCAAAAAGTACTAAGCAGCAAAAAGACATTCCAACATACACTTCACTTTGCACTGAAAACTAAATGCTCCTACAAAGAAGTTAGACAGTTTAAGAAGCAGAATCCTGCTACACAAGAATTCAATGTCATAGAGATCATAATCAGGCTGTTCTGCCACTAACTCCCAAAGCCCCTAAGTTATTACACTGTTCTGTTCCTACCTTAATAACTGAGAAAACAACCACTAAATCCATTCTACATTTTCAGGATTGGTATTCAATAGTATTGACATTATTACTGTACACTATGCATACTGGGATTTAATTTAGAAAAAAAGGAAGCTTGACAGTGTTAATCAATTTGTGAACACCACCATCAAGTTCCAGTTATGGTAATAAATAGCCATCAAACAGCAGAACTAGTAAATAACAGCAAAACAGAAGAAGCAAATTACTATACTTATAGATCTATGATCCTAACTCTTGACAAATTCAAAAGTAAGTAGAATAGCAAAGTGGAAATAATTGCCACTAAACAAGACTAGGAATACGTTTGCTGAACATAATACTGTGATTTTCAGACTACTTTGAAAATGTGTAAAAAAAATTACTAAGCTTTAATAAGAATGTATGAAACCTGAATCCTGTTTAGTATTTAAACATTAAAATAATCAGAGGTAATCCTTTAAAACTGGGGTTCAGATTAGTCTATGCAGATAAAATGAAACATCTGGCAGCATTATGTGGAGACAGACCTTTTTTTAACTTTGAAAAGGAGATTAGTAAATCTGTTATTTTAAAGTTTGAGTTATTTTTAATTATTTTGTCTGGGTCACAGATAATCTGTTTTTGCTGGGTCATATAATGACATCAAAGGATCACTGCCAAAATGATTTCCCTTTTACCTTCCACTAGCCATAGGAAGATAGTATTTTCCTGCTTTTATACCAAGAGAGAAATCTCTGATTTGTATCAAGTGGTTATTTACAATGAAAATTCACAGAAAGTAAGAAACTGACTTTAAAGAGGGGTTTTTTTATTTATTCATTCCTTCACTCTTTTATTTATTTATTTGGTAAGTGATGTGATACCATATGGGTCACAACAACATAAAAAAGATGGGTAATGCAAGTATCATCATTCACATTTTAATGTTCAGTAAACTGAGACTTAGATTAAATGACTTGCACATAGTCACACTGCTAGTATCAAAGCTGGATCTTGAATCCACATCTCTTAATTCTCAAGTGAACACTCTTTTTATTACTGTTTGGCATTAAAGCATTTGAGGTAGTTTAGTATTTAAGAATACCTGAAGGATTTTTTATTTTTGTCTGGGAATTCTTAGTATGGAAATTCCATTCATGAAGATTTAGGAGAAAAGTTCTAGGAAATTGTCTGAGACGCAGAGTAGTTAAATGCCTCATCTGAGGTCACACAGTAACTGTCAGAAGTGGGATTTAAATCTGGATGTCCTTGGCGCCTAAAACTCTATCCACTATTTCACACTGTCTCTATTATTTAAAAGTAAATACACTATAAATCATGTAGGAATTTGAATTTTAAACTCTTGTGCTGTGAACAATAATTACTAATCTTTTAAGAATGGTCTTTCCACGTAAAACATCTAGAGGTTGAGACACAAAATGATTACTGTTATTATAGTTCATTCAACTTATTTCCAACATATATTTAGATTTCCCTTCAAACCTGTTTCATCTCCTTACTCCAGAATTTAGTATTTTTATTCAAGTCGGTCTGCTGAAGTGTCATTTGACTTGCTAAATCAAATCTCAGGGTGCTAGCTCATTCAATTTCTTCTATCTACAACACATCTCACCTTCTTCTCTCCACTAATTACATCTAATACTTATATAGTCCTACTCAGAGGTTCCTGCCATAAGACCTAGAGACTTCTCAGTCCTGGTCCAGTTTCATCATGTCCACTTATTTCTACTTTTCAGGTCCCAGCAATTAGGAGAGGGCTTCATGAAGAATATGGTGCCTGTGCTGCTTCTTAAAGTCATAGAGGAAATCTATGAGGAGGAGAGGGAAAGAAGGGAGTGTATTCCAAGAATGTGGGATGGCAAAGGCAAGTATGGCTATCATGTGTGAGAAACAAAGAGAACTCTATTTTGGTGGCATCATAGAATACAGGAAAGTAAATCCAAAGAGGCTAGAAAGATAGGTTGGGATCAGGTTGAGAAGGGAATTAAAAACTAAACAAAAGAGTTTATATTTTATCTTAGGAGCAACAGGAAGTTCCTTAAGGCAGGAGTCATGTGGTCAGATCTACGCTGAAGGAGGACATTTTGACAGACGTCTATAAGATGGACTGGAATGGTGAGAGACTTGCAAAAGGGAGATCGATTAGAAAGATGTTTCAAGGGGCAGGTAGGTGGAGCAGTGGATAGAGCACCAGCCCTGGAGTCAGGAGGACCTGAGTTCAAATGCGGCCTCAGATACATAACACTCGCTAGCTGTGTGACTCTGGGGAAGACACGTAACCCCAATTGCCTCACCAAAAAAAAAAAAAAAAAAAAGGAAGATGTTTCAATAACCTAGGTGATAAGAAGATGATAACTAAGGTGGTACCTGTGTGAGAGGAAAGAACAGACTGGAAGCAAGAATGATGTAGAAATAGAAATAGCAATATATGGCAACTGAGTGGATATGTGGAATGAATGAGAATGAGGAGGGTAATGCCAAGGTCACTAACCTGGAAGACTGAAGGATGATGATGATGCCTTTCACAGAAACAGGGAAGTCTGGACAGCATTTAGAAGATAAAGATTTTAAGTTTGAGATGTCTCTGGAACATAATAGGCGATCGTGATCCAGGACTGAAGCTCAGGTGAGAGGTTTTGTATCTGTTCCACCCCTTTATTATTTTCTAATATGTGGTACAGTTATTGTATAGCATTATGTATTTGCTCATGTGTCTTATCTTCCCTACTGTAAGCTCCATGAGGGCCAAGACAGCATTTTAATCATCTCTAATCACCTCTACTATCCAGCATATTGTCTTCATATAAGACTTTTAAATTACTGGAGAATAAATGAAAAGAGACAGCATTTTGGAAAACACGCTATACAGAAAAAAGTAAGCTGAAATAAAAACATGCTATCTTGAAAAATAATCACAAAGGAAAATATACTCTTACAAAGTATAAGAGTGATAACAACTCTGAATTCAACCATCCACCACTATTTATACCTTAAATTGTTCAAGTTGAACTGAAATAAATTATCAATGAAGACAAATAATCAAATAAGTTATCAAATCAGTTGAATCAATAATCTTTTATTATTTACTAAGATGTTTTATCACCAATCTGTTTTTTTCAAACAACTCTATACTTAAGAATATAATCTATCAAATGTATATTTAATAAAGAAAGCCTAGTCAAATTTTAAAATGTAAATTACATAAAGCTTTTCATTTATTAATGTTCACAAAGTTATTTTACTTGGAAAAACATATGTCAAAAAAAAAAAACTTTGTCATACTTACGGTGATGATGCCAATGAGTTGTGTATAAAAGAGGCCAGTTATTCCAACTAACATAGTTATTCCCATGAAAGCTGCTAGTCTCATTATGGCCAATTCATGTCTAACTAAAAAGAGATCCTAAAAAGAATGGAAGAGGGAAAAACACTTTAGAAAAGTAATCTAAAGAATCACAGAAAGTAGCACTAACACTTTCACTGACTATTTTAAAGCAACATTTTATTTTATGCATTAGGCTCTACCATGTTAACATGTAAAAAAATTGAAATTGGTTTGAAAATCTTCTCAAATTATACTATGTGGCAGACAAAAATTGTGATTTTTCCAATATTATTGTGCCAAAAATCTAAATCCAAAACCAAAAGCTGAAAGTTATCCAGTACATTATGGTAGAGTGATCACTGGATCTATAATAAGTGAACATGGCTGTGGAATCCTATCTTGGCCACTTACCCAAACATGACTTTGGACAAATCAATCTTCCTGAGCCTCAGTTTCCTTATTTATAAAACAAGGGGGTTAGACGAGATGACAAGTCAGTTTCCCTCTAGCTCTAAATGTACGATCCTATGTTTCATTCTCATTTATTCACGCTGAACCTATTAGCAACAAGAGTTACTAAGTGCACTCTTTAATTCTTAATACTTGAAAAGATTTGTGATGTCATTGTCTAGCCACTTCCTCCAAGGAAGCAGAAGGCAATTTAGCTATGGCTAAGAGAATCTTTTTATGAATTGCTATGGCCAAAAAATCATCATCATCATCACCAGGAGACCAACGTTCTGTTGAATAATGCTCTCCACAGTTAGCTAGGCTGGATCACAGAACTTTCCAGACAGATTTTATGCTCTAATGTCATAGCCTTTAAAATTCTAGAGTCATCTCTAATGTATGATGAGGAATAATCATTAGTAGAAGAATATTTAATTCACACAAGGAAACGCCATAAAATATTCTGTTGTAAAGACTTTAACAGATTGATCTACAAATGTAATAATTCACATTATTTAAGTTCAAGTAATCTGAAACCCAGTGATATTACACAACTCACTCCAAATCCGAAAAGAACATGGTCACTGAATCATAATCACAGAATCTCAGAGTTGGAAGGGTCCTCAAAGACCAAAATATATTTGAACAAGAATCCTCTCTACTATGTAAGTGTTAACATCTTTGTTTGAAGACCTCTAATGAACAGAACCCACTATCTACTGAACTATTCTATTCTACTTTCCAATAATTCTAGTTGTTAGGAAGTTTTTCCTTATATAAATCCTAAATTTGTCTCTTTTCAGCTTCTGGTATATGTGCCTAGTACTGTTTCTGGTGCCAAGAAGAGCAAGTCTTATTCTTCTTCCACATTACAATCACCTAAATCTTTAAAACATCTATCTTCTCATTCTTCCCCTCCACCCTATTGTCTTCTTTATCTAGGCTAAACATCACCACTTCCTTCAACTGACCCTCATATAGCATGATCTCAAGGACCTTTTACTATTGTGGCTGTCTTTCTCACTGGATGCTCTCTAGTTTATCAATATCCTTCTCAAAAAGTAGCCCTCAAGACTAAATATAATAGTCTAGCCAGAGGCTACACAAGGCAGAGAACAGTAGGACTATTACTGAACACTATTCTCTACTTAATGAAGCCTTGCATCAGCTTTTGTGGCTGCCATATCACTGCTGACTCATATTGAATTTGCAATTCTTCCTCAAATGAACTGCTGTCTAGCCATGTATTTCCCCATCCTGTATTTCTGAAGTGTTTAATTTTTTTAATGCAAGACTTTATAGATATTCAATTAAATTTTACCTCATTAGATCTGACCTTACTCCTATCAAGATCCTTTTAGACCCTGATTCTGTAATCCAGTTTGTTTCCTATCATTTCCTCTGATAATAAAAACATTCCACCCAAGACATAAAAATGTTAAACGGCAGAATGCAAAGTACAAATCCATGGGCCAGTACATGAGAGACTTCCTTTTCAACGCTGACATCACATCATTAATGGTTATTTTGGAGTACAGCTATTAATCTATTCCTAACTCTAACTAACTATAATATCATATAGCCTACATCTCTCCATCTAGATGAACTATGTCTAGAGCATTCCATTCACTTACCTATCTAATAAGCTTATAAAAAAAAAGAAATCTGGTATGGCATGACCCATTTTTAATGAAGCTTGTTTGGCTCTTTGCGGTATCTCTTCCATCTTTAGATGTTCATTAACTATTCCTTTTGGAGCAGTTAGGTAGTACAGTGAATAGAAGAACACTGGGTCTGGAGTCAGGAAAACCTGAGCTGAAATTTGACCTCAGACACTGGCTGCATCACCCTGGGCAAGTACCTTAAACTCTGTTTGCCTCAGTTTCCTCATCTGAAAAATGGGGATAATAAAAGCACCTACCTTCAAGGGTTGTTGTTATGATTAAATGAGATATAATTATAAAGCACTCAGCATAGTGCCTAGCACACAATAAATATACATATTCTAGAATTTTACTAGTCATGAAGACAGGACTCAGGCCCACTTAACATGGCTCTTGGATAAGACAGTAAGAAGCGGGTCAAAGAAACTCAGTTTAAGGACAGCAAGAAGGAAGTAGTATTTCATTCACCTGTACCACAAGAAGCCAAATTGATGATAATGAAAGACAGAAGTAAGACTTCCCTTTCTATCAAAAAAGAAGGATGTGGATGGAGGTAGGTCAACTACATATTTTCACTGGACACCACTGTAGCTCAGACTTGGAGTTACCTACTAGCAACACCATGAGATATATGTGATACTATCTATGCCTGCATGGACTAAGAAGGCTTGTGTTAAGAGCTGTAGGTCAGACTGAGATAAGTAACTTGATCTACTCAATAATCACTTACCAATATGGAATTATAATTTACAATGATGCCTACATAATTACTAAAATAATAATGTTTGATAAAATAGCCTAAGATTAGATTGTAGCTTTCTAAACCTTCATAGAAAATAGCTTGATGCTAATCTTTAGATATCTGCAATGTAATTATTGATAATATAAGCACATGCCAACTGATACTACTTTATATTCTGAAACATACATAAAAAGTGTATCACATTGGCCATTTCTCTTTTATCTTGAAATTATATACTGATTTACTACAGGGGTGGTATAACATACTTGTTAAGATAATTACATTAGAAGTGATAAGAAAATGAACATATTTGAGTAGGCTTCAAATTTCACTATACTCCTACCAATGACTTAATTTCAGCCTGATTACTAGGCTTAAAGTTTCTAGACTTTGGATTATTTCCTTCAGTTAATGTTTATTTTCTACAGTGGCAAATAGCATTAAAGATGTGACCCTCACTCCCAGATGATCACTGAAGTCCTAGTTTAGAAGGTAATAAATAGCCCATTATACTATAAGAGGGTTTCTAATCCTAGCGGAGCTTCATAGGATGGTACCTGAAAAAATGCATTTATGTAAACATAGGAATCAACAACTGCATGCAAAATAGTAGATTAGCAGTCAAAATACCTGGGTTTAAATCCTGACTCTGACTTACTACCTGTGTAATTGAAAACAAGTCCTTTAGTCTCTATGGGTCATAGTTTCCATAAATATGAAATGAGGGGGTGTGGGGTACAAAGTATATAATAATTGCTGATATTTAGTGCTTTAAGGTTTTTTTGATCCCTTTTGATGCATTTTATATTTATATGGTCTTTTAGCCCCACAGTCCTGTGAGTGTGGTAGCATACATATAATTATTTACATTTTAAAAATGAAGAAATTGAAAAGACAAGGAAGTTAAGTGATTTGCCCAAGGTCACATAAGTAGAAGTGTGGGAAGTGGGATTTGAACACAGTCTTTTTCCAACCCCAAATTCAATGTTCTTTCCACTACATAAAACTGTTTCTCCTTAAGATCTCTGGTCTTCTAGCTCTAAATCCTATAATTAAGTGATACACTAGTATTTTTGTTTGTTTTCTCCCACCAAATCTAATCTGGCAAATGTAATAACCTTTTCCTCAATCCTCATTATTCTTGAACTCTTTGTAGTCTCTGACACTGTCCATCATCCTTTTCTCCACAATATTCTTTTCTCTCTAGGTTTTTATGATATTGCTCTTCTCTCCTAGTTATCCTCCTGGCTATTCTTTCTCTGTCTTTTTCTGGATTTTCATATAGGTCATACCCATTAATGGTGAAATCCCCTAAAGTTCAGGCCTGGGCCCTTTTCTCTTCTACTTCTGTAATACTCTGTTTGGTGGATGATTTCATCAGCTCCCATGGATTCAATTATCATCCTTACAAAGATGATTCTCAGATCTATTTATCCAGACCCAACCTCTCTTCTGACATACAGTCTCACAACTCTACCTCTTTGAACATCTCAAACTGAATGTTCTGTAGACATCTTAAAATCACCATGTCTAAAACTGAAGTCATTATCTCACCCCCTCCACCAAACCTTCGCCTCTTTCTAACCTCCCTATTACTGTTGAAGGCACCACCATCCTCCCAATCAACCAGGCTCAAAAGATGTTTCCTTGACTCCTCACTTTTAACCTTTCCCCTTACCCCTACCACATCCAATCTGTTGCCAAGTACTGCCAATTCTCCCTTTACACAGTCTCTTGTATATGTTCCCTTCTATCCTTTTACACTGGCATCACCATGGTACAGACACTCATTACTCATGTCTTGACTATTCCAATTCCAATTGGTCTCCCTACCTCAAGAAGTTCCCCACTCCATGCCTCCTCCACCCAGATTTTAAAGCAATCTTCCTAAAGTGTGGGTTTGACCAAGGCCTCCCCCCTACCCCTACTCAATAAATTCCAAAGCTTCCCTATTAATTTCACAATCAAATGTAAACTCCTTTATTTGGCATTTAAAGTGTTAACAGGCTGGCCCCTTCCTACCTTTCCAATATTCTTGTATTTTACTTTCTTCTAAATACTGTAGAATCCAGCTACATTGGCCTAGTTGCAGCAACTACTCCTCACCCATCGCCATCCAGCTCCCACTTCTATTCCTTTGTATGGGCAGGACTCCATGCCTGGAACAATTCTGTCCCCTATGCCTTCTGCCTCTTTTCTTCCTTGGCTTCCCTCAAGACTCA